GACGTTTTGAGATTGACTCACAAGGGGTGCCAAAAAAAACCCTGTCCTATAAGGAAAACAGGCGCCTAAAAAACCGGGTTGTTCGTGGACGTTTGGAGAAGGTTTTGTTTATCATATTGTCTGTTTTTTCAATTGTTTTTTGCGGGGGGGGGGGGGGGGGGGGTCACGACCATGTTGCTGTATCCATGCCCAAAACACCGGTATTTACAGCGTTTTTGCTCCTCTAGACAACATGCTGCTCCAGGATGTTTGACGTTTCTGTAACAAGACACACTGTCACAAGGCCTATGCAAAACGGTGCGTCGTCATGACGCTCGAACCACTAACAACTGCCACCAGAAGCAACATAAAAGAAAAACGAAAATGCATAAAACTGACCCTTGTGTGCATGTCGTAAAACATTCGTAAAAACCATGGTTTTATGTGCTTGTTTGCCGCCATTGCGGCCTTTCACTAGAACGCAGGCAAGTGGGCTACGGCTGACATTTCATGATTCGTCCTGGTGTTCTCATTTTCAGATTTTTAGGCGAAATATTATTGCATGTGCATAAAACATCAGTGTTAGTGGGTGTTTCCTATGCTTTCCTAATTCTCTGGGTGTCAGCTTGACCATGAAGTTCCGAGCACAACGTGCCCAAAACCCGAGCGAACAGCATGTCGCATGCTTCAAGTCTCCAGGTTTTTGTGCGCCTGTGACCTCCTATAAGGGCCCCTTAATGATAATGGAGAATAAAGCAAGGGACACCTTCTGACCCCAGCTGCTCATGCGCTTGCAGACTCTCGCTGCCAGTTCCTCTATTACTTGGCTTCTTCCTTGTTGTCGCCGAACTGTGCGAGTTCGCTCCTGGGATCCTCCAAACTTCGCCTCGGGCCCTTGGACCATAGGGCTTGTAGGGTTTAGGCAAAACCTCGCACCTTCCAGGGGGTGTGGGAATCAGGCGAAGGCCTTGGACGGAATTTTCTTGGGAGCGGTGACCGCGCCTCCATAGCGCGCCGTAACGTTCTGGACCTCGAGGGAGGCGTTTACGAACCCGATCTTCCCGCCAGAATAGAGGGCGCCTCTGCGGCTCGAGCGGGGGTTTAGGGTTTAGGGTTCAGGGTTTAGGGTTTAGGGTTTAGGGTTTAGGGTTTAGGGTTTAGGGGTTAGGGTTTAGGGGTTAGGGTTTAGGGTTTACGCTTTTCGGGTTTAGGGTTCAGAGGTTCACAGACTGGCTTTCACCACGACGGCTTCTGTGGAGCCTTCTATGACTTCTATGTCTTGCGCTCCCTGGTCTTTTAACTCGACTTTAAAAAAAAAGAGAGAGAGACTTCTGTCGGAACCTCACCCCCACCCCCCCCCCCCCCGCCCAAAGGTCGCACAGCTCACGTTGTTGCTGTTGCTGTTTTGCTGTTGCTGTGGCTGTTGCTGTTGCTGCTGTTGGGGGGGGGGGGGGGGAATGGATCGGGCGAAGGCCTTGCAAGGCGATGTTTTTACAGGGAGCGGACACTGCGCCTCCTTGATCTGTGGCCTTGGAGTTGTGGACCCGCAGGTAGGTGTTCGCGATGTCCATGTCCTTGAAGGCGTCGAAGGCGCCTCCGCGACTCGAGCGGGGCGCAGTCGGAGGGGTACTGTATATATATATATATATGTATATATATATATACATACATTTTATTTATTTATTTGTTTTTATATTTATATTTATATTTATATTTATATTTATATTTATATTTATATTTATATTTATATTTATATATATATATATTTTTTATTTATTTATATGTATATTTGTATTTATATAGGATGGACTCCAATCACCCTCCAGCCACTTCTCCCTGCTGCCGCCGCATCATGACAAAACGCCGCTCGAGATGGAAAAAAACACCCCGAGAGAACATCTCCGCGGGGTTTTTGAAATGTCGGCGCGCATTTCGGCCTGCCGGCACGTGCTTTTGACATGTTTGGCGCTCTACGGGGATTTTGGCACGTCGGCGCGTGTTTTAGGCATGTCGGTGCGAGCTTCTGGGATGTCGACGCGTGCTGTCAAATTTCTTCCATCTATGCGCATTTGTCTGGGCACGTCGGCGCATAGGTTTGACATGTCGGCGCGCTTTTTGACATGTCGGCGCATGGCTGAAATTTAAGTGCTATGGCATGTCTTCCTCATTGCTTCCCTTCTTTCCCTTATGGGCCCTTATAGGCCCTTAGGGACACCTTCGGCTCATGAAACGAGGTTGCTGCCATTTCCTCATCATTGGCTGCCTGTTCTCGCTGGGATGCTTTAGGGCTCTGTGTACGAATCCGGTCCTGGGATCACCTCCAATAATTCGCCTCGAGGTGCTGGTCTGAGGTTCAGAGGCTGCGGCGTGTCATGTGGGCTACCATCCTTACGTACCACTGTGTGAGGGATTTCCAACCTATCCGAAGAAGTCCCACTGAGAAACGGAGATCTAGGAGACTCTGGGGCACCATGACAGCTTCTGTGGAGAGTTCGCACCTTCCGCCTTCTGTGTTTTGCTCCGTGGTTAAGAACTCGACGCAAATATAAACTTCTGTCGGAACCTCACACCCTCTCCCCCTACACCCGAAAAAACAACGTCATTGTCACTCCGCTGAAAGGGCTGAAAGGCTCTAATCCTGGAAGCTCGACCGGAAGTGTGAATGCAGGCGGGGGGGGACAGGGGCGGGGGCAAAGCTTCGCAATGCTTCGCACCTACCAGAGTACGCTGTCACGGTCTTCTACAAGTTCGCACTGATTCGAGACACATGATACAAATCAGAAGTCGATCTGGCCAAGGCCTTGCAAGGGCTTCTTTTGGGAGCGGCCGTCACGCCTCCACGCCAGCCCGCCGTGGCGTTGTGGACCTCCAGGGAGGCATTCGCGATCTCGATCTTCCCGTTGTCGGAAGCAAGGGCACCTAGGCTCTAAGCCCTGAAGCCTCCCATAGCCTCCCTCACTCAGCCGACCTCGACCGCAACTCTCAACCTGCAAACCTGGCGATTTGGGTCCATGCTGTGCACAGCTCGCACTGCTCGGAGGCAGAAGGTCTACGTACGGAGCTTATGTTGTTGTTGGTGGGCAGAATGGATCGGGAGAAAGCCTTGCAATGCGATGGTTTACAAGTAGTGGCCGTCGCGCCTCCCTTCATGTTGGCCATGGAGTTGTGGACCTCGAGGGACGCGTTCACGATCTCGATGTTCCCTCTGGAAAAGAGGACACCTCCGCGGCGCGAGCGTGCGGTTCGCATGCTTTGGTTTAGAAATCGAAGCAAATCTAGGCTTCTGTCGGAATAACCTCACAAACTCACACCCGCAACAAAACGTCATGCGAGAAGCGTAAAAGCAGCCCACCCACTCCCCATCCCAAAAACAAACATCATTGTCACTTCCGTGCCCTAAACCTTGAAGCCTCTGTCACTCAACCCTTGAAACGCGGAGACCTCGACCGCAACTCTGAACCCGAAAACCTGGCGACTTGGGTCCATGCAGGGCAACGCTCACACTACTCGCACTTGAAACGAATCAGAAGGTCTACAGCTTATGTTGTTGGGGGGCAGGAATGGATCGGGTGAAGGCCTTGCAAGGCGATGTTCTACAGCGGCCCATCGCGCCTCCGCTCATGGCACTGGCGTTCTGGACCTTGAGGGAGGCGTTCACGATCTCGATGTTCCCTCTGGAAAAGAGGACGCCTCTGCGGGGCGAGGGCCGGGTGCGGTCGCAAGGTTCGTATGCTTCCCTTCTTTCTTTTTTCTTTCTTTTTTCTTTCTTTTCTTGAGAAAGGCTTCCTAAACCTGTGCCACAACTGCCCTCCTGACAAGAGGTTGTGGTTCTCGCGCCTCCATCCGAGGAGCCGGCCCTGGCATTGTGGACTTTGAGGGAGGCGTTCAGGATCTCGATGTTCCCTTGGGAAGAAAGGACGCCTCTGCGGCGCGAGCGGGGTGCGGTCGGAGGATTTGTGCGTAATGACTCCAGCCTCTCCCGTTGCTTCCCTTCTTTCCCTTTGTAGGCTCTTGGGGACAGCTTCTGACCCCCACCTGCTCATGAAAAGATGCAGCGGTTTCCTCATGGGCCATCTTCTTCCTTGTTGGACTCTTTTGTTAGGGGGTGTGGGGATCAGGCTAAGGCCTTGCTTTGCCGGCGAGCGCGCCTCCACTGAAACCGGCCGTGGCGTTCTGGACCTCGAGGGAGGCGTTCGCGATGGTCATGTTCCCGCCGGAAGAGAGGACGCCTCTGCAGGGCGCAGCTGGGGGCCGTTCGTACCCTAAACCCTAAACCCCAAACCCTAAACCCTAAACCCACGCCTCCCTCCAGTGGCCGACCTATCCCACCTCCCGCAAGCAAAGATGCCTGAAGGACCCAGCTCCCCCGCAGATCCGCTGGGATCCCTGATTGTCTGAGAGCCTAGGCGCGTCCTCAGCTCTCGACCCGGCTCCTCCTTGCTTCCCTTCTTTTGTGCCTATATGCAAATAGGGACATCCTTCTGGCCCCACAACCCCCAAGCAACTACACTGAGCTCTGCTCAAGGCTCAGTTCCACTCTGGGGAGCGCAGGAGCGCAGCAATTCTCTCGGGCACATTTCTCAGAAGTGGCCAACACAATAACTGGAAGATTTGGAGAGAACCCACTGCTTTCAATCAAGTGTCTCGACCTTTGGAGCCGTCTCTCACGTGCCTTCTCTGCTCTCGCTTCTACTTTTCTTGCAAAAGCTGCCTATACTCAGCACTCGTGTCTCCGAAATTCGGCCCTTAGAGGCGACCCTGCAAGACCAAATATCAAAAGCAAAAAAGAAAAAAAAAACGAAGGCCTCCACTACCCGAGGCGCTGCAGCTCTCCGCATGGAGCTCGCCGGTGAGGCGGATGTTGCCTTCGCTCCGGGATGCTCTGAAGTGTCGGGCCACAAACAAGATTTAAAAAAAAAACTGTCCAAAAACGGCCCGGCCTCCGACCCAGGCCGCCCCTCCATCGCGCACTGCATGGCAGGACGTGAATGCCAGGGCTCCTCGAACCAGCAGGTCCTCCGTCACGTTGAGGCCTGCTCCTTTTTGACCTCCTGAACTTTTTGTCCGGCACCCCTCCATGCCCAGGAAAAGGCGCCGGCGTTCAGGAGCAGTGTGCCCTTGACGGAGACGCAGGCTTCCTGGAACGCCGCCTCCTTCGCCTCAACGCTCAGGCTTCCGCTGAGGGCGACGCTGCCGTTGAAGACCACGGGGGCCCGGAGCCGCAGCTTCGCGCCTGAAAGGAAAGAACACCTTCTCCCTTCCCTTCCCATTCCCTTACAAGAGGGGGGGCCTCTAAGGCCCGGGCGGGTCGCGCTGACATTGCAGGGGCCCTGCAGCACGAGCCTCTCCCGGACCTCCGCGGAAACTCTTGAAGTCGCGGCAGCAGAAGGGCGTCACACACACACACACACAGAGAAGCCAAAGCCTTGCGATCACAAAGGACCACACCTCGTAATCCCCGGACAACTCGAGGCGGCCCTCACGACAGTGCAGGGCTCGGCCGTGTTGGGCCTCCTGACGACACCACCCTGCGTTGGGAGGGTTTAGTGCTGATAGTGCTGAGGGATCATCCTTTGTCGTCTGAGAGGGCACTCCACTCTCGGGGTCTGAGGGTGCTACAGGGAAAATCTGAGAAACAGCATGAGAGCGACAGAAGTCACAAGCAAAAACAAGCCGCTGTCCAAGAAACTGCTGCTACCCCTTTGCCGAATCACGCCACCGTGTCCGAGCGTTTGTACGGACCAGCAAGAGACGCACAGAAGAGGAAGGAACCCTAAACTCCAAACCCTAAACCCTAAACCCTAAACCCTAAACCCTAAACCCTAAACCCTACGACCGCTTTGCGTACATTATTCTACAAAGCGCTTCGCTTCGTCTCAGCTCTCCTGCGGCACCGCGGGCGCCTCCGGCGCCAGGTTGGTCCCTGCCAAGGGCAGGGTTCAGGGTTCAGGGTTCAGGGTTTAGGGTTTAGGGTTCAGGGTTCAGGGTTTAGGGTTTAGGGTTTAGGGTTTAGGGTTTAGGGTTTAGGGTTTAGGGTTTAGGGTTTAGGGTTTAGGGTGCCCTTCTCTGAGGGCTCTGAGGGCCCTGCGCTGCAGCAAGAAGCTGGCGCCATGGCCCAGGTGCCAGCTGAACTCCGTGCCTTAAAGAAGGGGGACGACCGCACCGGCCCCCAACTCCCCTTTGCATTTGTTTGGGCCATGGCTTTAGTCCCCCAACACTCTCAGCCCTATTTCAGGGCCTGCTTTCTTGAGCCTATACGGGGCAGAGGACAGCATCGGCCGAGGGGCGCTCGGGCGATGCCAGGAGCCAGCAGAGAGTGGCCACGAGGGCCCGGAGGCCCCACATCCTCCCCCTTTCAAACGGCGCTCATATGGGCTGCCATGCTGGCTTAGAAGGGGAAGCAAGAAGAGCCTTTTTTTGTAGGGAGCGGGATTTCGCAAACGAAGGCTTGGGCCGAAAGAGGCCATGGACTTCCGCTTCCCCACCTCCAAGGCCAAGAGCTAGGCAGCTGGGACCGTGTGCCAAAAAAACTCTCTAGGGGGGTCTTTGCGGATTCCGCAGAGGGGGCTCTGCGAGCTCTGATAGCTTGTGGATGGCAGGGCGTGGTTGGTCGGCGGTGCGTCTCCTCGCAAAGATCGTTGTCCTTCGTTGTCCAGGGTTTAGCGAGTTTCGGGGTAGGATCTGAATGTGGTGGGGATCCTCTGAACCTGAGATCACAATCAACACATCGGTGCTCTGAAGCTGAGATCACAATCAACACGTCGGTGTCCAAACAGCCGGGAAAGTTCAAAGTCCTTTTTGCCTTGAAGGTGTTGGGAGTAGGGTTGCTTAAACATGCTTCCAGGGATTTCCAGAATGTAACGGATCTCCGCTTCTAGAAGCAACGCCTCAACCGGCCATAACACAGCCGGCACCACACTCTGCATCCCTGAAAGGCCGGCACTTCAATCTTTGCCTTCCTGTTTCCTGGAGGACTTGGAAACTTAACAGGCAGGATCAGTGGTAGACTTCAATACAGGCAATAACTCTCCTCAGCCTTGCTGCAAAAATCGCCTGTAACGTGCTTCTTTTTTTCAAGCTGCTAGTGATGGTACGCCCTGAACCCTAAGTGAGCTCGATGCAAGCTAGGGGGATGGTAGCAAAGGGGCCTTACTCATAGGGCTTGGGAGGTTCATTTCACTAGCTATTTTTGTTTTTTTTAATGAAATCACCAGCCCCTATACCCTGTAACTGTAACAGACCATGAGACGACAAGCCTGGACCCAGTCGTGCTCACTGCTTGTATGAGGTACATGTAGCACATGGAGCTCTTTTGAGTTAGGATCTCCCTTACCTACGGCCCTGGTTTGAATACCCAATACATATCACATATAGACTGGGCCTCCAAGCATTTAGAGTTACGAGCCTTAAACCGGCATTGCAAGGCTTCGAACTTCTACAGAGAGCCTCCTTCCACAGAGAGCCTCCCCAGACTCTTGCTATCCAAAGCCCCAAATCCTCGAACAGCTTTCGATCCTTTCTTGAGCCAAGCTTTGGGCTGTGCGAGGGCCACATAAACATAAGGATCCCGCAGTTCAGGCTTCCGAAATCCCCCCTGCCTTACAGGGGCCCTTATACCTCAAAACATGGGATCCTTATGTTCCTGGGCTTTCGCTTTCGGGCACCTCTGCTTTAAGCAGCGGTCCGGTGCAAGTGAGCCTTAACGGCTTCGCCTCCAGCCATGTCGAAAACGGCTTCTGACGTCCTTCTTGGGGGCCTACTCTTCCTGTAGGATCCTTCGAGAAGCCCGAGAAGCCAAGACACGAAGTCGTATCTCACCGTATCGGGGCCGCAAGAGTACAATGACGGATAGTCGGGGACTCTCTTGGGCCCTGATCCCTCAAAACTCTGCCCCGAAACCCAGAACTAGTCTAGGATGATGTGAAGACAGCATCATGGAACAACTAAGGAAAAAATATACCGCATGCACTGGAACAAATTTGAAAAACTATGTTAATCGGGCTTTCGGCTCGGAGGAGTGCCTTTTTGAGGCCTCTCAGAGGGCACACACGGCGCGTGGGCGTGGCGGCTTCGTCTGCTTCCGCAGCGTCGACGGGACGCCTCCAAGCGCATCTTCGCATCTCCCAAGCCCCCCAAAAGCCTTAAAAATCAAGCAAGAGAGATCTTACCTTCTAGGGGTCTCCTTCACATCTCTTGATGAATCATAGGGCTTTGGGCTCTCCGGGCTTCATCCCTGACTTCCTTCAGTCCCCCCTCAAACCAAGATCTTTCCACAGTCTGTGTTAGCACCAATCATCAAGCTCCGAACGCCCAGCGGCCATGCTATGACGGATTTCATTCGTGGCGTCCCGCCCCCCAACCCCCCCCCCGCGCCCCCCCGCCCCCCCGCCCCCCCGCCCCCCCGCCCTTCTTCCCCTCTTGTTCCCACAGCAGCGTCTGATCAGGCCTTGTCGGAACACACCTGTTTCAAGGACATGCGTGCTCCCCACGCCCTAAACCCTAAATCCTCAACCCCCATCTTAGCCCATGAAGGCCCTCGAAATGGCCCTCAAAGAGCCCTAACCCCTAAAGAGCCCTAAACCCTAAACCCTAAACCCTAAGCCCTAAGCCCTAAGCCCTAAGCCCTAAGCCCTAAGCCCTATACCCAGCCTGCGCAAAGGGCTTCCCGAATCCCCTGGCACTCCTTGAGCACCTTGGCGTTTTCGCGCTGCAGAACCTGTGAGCCGGCTTTCGACACGAAAATATGTGCTATACATAGGTATGATGCAATACAAAGTGCATGTCTAAATAAAGATGTGTCATAAAATAGTATGACATGTTGTATTCTGTAATATATCACGATATGTCGTGACATAGTATACGATATTTGAACATATTATGGGATGTTAAAGCAATCACAATATAGTTTAATATGCTATCTTGTCATATGACTAATTATGAGATGTTCTGACATATGCTGATATCACAATAGAATACAGAACAGTAGATCGTTGGGAATAAAACCAGGGAATGACAAAGAGGAGCAGCAATGCATAGGCAAAACCGAACCACATGTACAATACAGAGACCCTAGTGTGATTATAGATGGACTGAAAGGCGGCATCCTCAAGTACTCATCATTCATACCACCCTGAACCCTAGATCCAGCGTCAAACCCTGAAGCCTTAACAATTGAAGCGGTTCGACAGTACTGCTTGGGAGATGACTGGAGCGCGAAGGGTCCGCGCAATGGGCCGTACTTGGAGGTTCATGGCTAGCAACTAATGGGCTTACAAGTATAGTGATGGTTCATATTCAGGGACTTATAACTACCCATTCACCTCCAAGTAGATGGTGAGTGTCTCTATAGAATAGGGCTTGGGATTGCGGGTTTAAACATTCAGGGCTTCCAAGGTTCAGACTTTAGGGCTTGTATGGAGCTACTTCACTGTCCCTTTTGCTTCCTTCTCTATCAGCATTATCCGCGTGATGCATGTTGCAATTGTCAGTGCTCGGTAAACTTGTGCTTCTGCTCACTTCACATGGGACGGACTGCGGGTGCCTCACCGCCAACGACAAACCTCGTCTTTTTGTCATCGTACATAATCCACACCGGCGGTAGTCAACCCACATGTTGACATGGTGTGTCGAAGAAGAGCCGACAAATACGTTCAGGAGTTCTGGATCTTGTCCGCTAGGGTCGGAAGCAGGAAACAAGTTCTTCACAAGCTCAGACAAACCCTTCGATTACAACATCGTAGATTAGAACCCCGTAGCTTCTCGCAGTGTAGTTAAACCACACGTGAGCCATGAGCGGCTTGGGAAATCCTCCAACATGAGACAACCCTAAACACTAAACCCTAAAACCCTAAAACCCGAAAACCCTAAAACCCTAAAACCCCAAAAACCCTAAAACCCGAAAACCCTAAAACCCGAAAATCCGAAAACCCGAAAACCCGAAAACCCTAAAACCCTAAACCACTAAACCCCTAAACCCCTTGACGAGTCCAGGCACCATGATATCCAGAGCGCGTGCCTGACCTTTCAGAAGCATCAGGCCGTGCGAGAACTCGGCGATCGTGATCTTGCCATCACCATCATCGAGGATTTCGAACCTTTTTTTTTGGGAGAGTCGCCCCTTTACTACGTCAGTCATCGAGGATTTCGAACCTTCTCATGGCTCGATGCAGGGACCCTTGGGGGTCTTTGGGATTTTGCGGCCTCCGGGCTTTCATTCACACATTCCGAAGGTGTGCTGAGCGAAGCTGTCCTGGAAGATTTTCCTCATGCACCGCACCTCCGCGTAGCTGTGTATTTCTGCACTTCTACGCCTCTGATCAAGTTCATGCCAAACTTGATACCGCACCGATGATATATCCGCTTGAAGCCCACATGGTTGAAGCTGTTGAAGCACCGACCCCTCAAAACCCTGCCTGAGCTGCTGACAGCCCTAAACCCAGAAGTATAAGAGTTAAAAAAAAAAAAAAAACACACACACACACACACACACACACACACACACAGAGCCTGGCTACACCCCAACCTCCGAAGGCTCGAACCTTAACAAGCAAAAACGAAGCGCAAGCTGCCAGAAAAAAAGCAGGCCGTTGCTCTAAAAAGAAGTCATGAAAACAGATAACCCTAAACCCTAAACCCTAAACCCCTAAATCCTTAAACGAAGAATTCAAGGTGACCCAGTACTGAAATAAAGGCCAGGCAGCAGCTGGGCGCAGTCCTGGACTTTGAGGTCGAGGGTGCTCAAGTACCTGAGCTGCTGAAGGCAGGGTTTAGGGCTTAGGGTTTAGGGTTTAGGGTTTAGGGTTTAGGGTTTAGGGTTTAGGGTTTAGGGTTTAGGGTTTAGGGTTTAGGGTTTAGGGTTTAGGGTTTAGGGTTTAGGGTTTAGGGTTTAAGGTTCAGGGAGCCAGAATGATGACAATCGTTCGGGTGTAGGGTCTTGGGTTTGTGGCTGATAGGGTTTAAGGTTCTCACGTGATCGCGACAACGTTATGTATCATTAGAAATGTCGTATATGGGGCATAAATTATGAGCCCTGCTTCTTAACTATGGTGTTGGCCTTACCACACCATGGTTTTCCGTGGTCCTGCACGGCACCGACATCCCGAGCCTCTCGGCGTAAACCTGAACATTGAACCCAAAGAGAACCCGTATACATGCCTCAGGGAACCCCCCTAAACCCTAAACCCTAAACCCCACAAGCAGTAAACAGTGCAGGAGCCGAATTCTTCTACCCTGCGCCGTGGACGCCAAAAGTCCGGATTCTGTCCCCTTCAAAACACGCCCCAAGCCTCAGACCGCAGACCCTAAACGGCCCTAAACCCCAAACCTAAAACGCCACATCCCCTGAACCCTAAACCCTAAACCCTAAACCCGAAATCCTACAAAACGTCTCCCAGGCGGACTCCGAGAGACTGCTGCACACTGGGGTAGCTCATGGCCTTGCTGAACTCCTCAGTGTGCAGCTCGGGTTTAGGGTTTAGGGTCTAGGGTCTAGGGTTTAGGGTTTAGGGTTTAGGGTTTAGGGTTTAGGGTTTAGGGTTTAGGGTTTAGGGTAATTCCGACTTTTAAGGGGGCCTTATAGGGATCATAGGGTTGGGGGTCAGATCGGCGAGGGGGTTTCAGAGCGTCGGGGTGATGGGTTTTAAGGGAGTTCGAGGGGTTTAGAATGTGCACAGAATGGTTTTGCAAGAGTTCTGCAAATCTTCACAACTCGTTCTCTGCTTAGGGCATCATGCTTGAAGGCATGTATACTTGGAGGTTCATGAGTGGTGATCAGTAGGCTTATCAATGGGATAGCTTTGGTTATAACCCATAATAGCCCACGTAAAAAAACCCAGCCACGAAACTCCACTCCTCATGCCCCCTGGGCCCAGAGTTTGTGGAGTTGGACCTCAGCAAAGCGTCGCTGAAGGAAATGGATTCGCTTCCGTCGCCATCGAGAGAACGGAAGAGCTCCTCGAACTTGCTCTGAAGGCCTCCAGACAGAACAGCGATTAGAGGCCCGTGAATCTTCTTGCTCTTAGATTCAGGGGGTGTTGTTGAGGGATACTTAGTGAGGGATTCTGCCCTTTGGGTTCGGGCAGTTCCTAAAACCAAAACCCTCGAGTTTGACTGGCTACCAGATCTCCCGGCTCAAGTTCGTCCGCAGACTCGCGGTTACATGTCCTCGGCCTTGAAAAAACCACTTCCAGTCACTCGGCCATGCTCGACATATCTGCAGGTTTTCTGAATTTTGGATCTGTATTCGGCGATACGCAGCCAGAATCAGGCTTTGCATGTACAGAGAGCTCAAGCATCACCCGAGAAGCCTTCCCCAATCCCATGGAAGCTGATAACCGGTAACTTGCCGAAACTACCCTAAACCCTAAACCCCAAACCTAAACCCTAAAACCCTAAACCCCCTAATCCCGCGGAGTTCCTTGGTTCCGGCCTTCCCTTGTCCCGGCCCTAGTGAAAGCTTTTGCAGCCCCTCGGCGTTCCTAGGATCCATATGTACACCAAACTCTGCCTCGTCTAGTTAGGGTTTCGGGTTTCGGGTTTAGGGTTTAGGGCTTAGGGTTTAGGGGTTTCTCCTCATGGTGTGTTTATACCATTTCTTGAACAGGTGGCATCACCACAAGCATGCTTGAATTAGCCGAAGCCCCTACAACACGAAACCTTTTAACCCTGAACTGTGCTTAGACCCCAAAAACCTTAACTCCAAGAGTCTTAAACCCAAACCAAGCTCCAAGCCCAAATCTTTCGAGTAGAAAACACCCGTCTTGAAGTCTGAATTGCAACTTACAACACCTTCTTGTAGCGCCCCCATCGTTCTGGCACAGTAGTCTCCAACAGCCTATTCCAATTTTACGGCCCCTATAGAATTAGAGCCACGTGGATTCAAGGAGCCCCAATCTACCACCCTAAGCCCTAAACCCTAAACCCCAAAACACCCTAAACCCTAAACCCTATACCCTAAACCCTAGGCCCTGTACCTTAAACCCTAAACCCTAAACCCTAAACCCTAAACCCTAAACCCTAAACCCTAAACCCTAAACCCCAACCCTAAACCCTAAACCCTGAACCCTAAACCCTGAACCCTAAACCCAATCTAAAAGGCCAACTTCCCCTCGCCATCCTCGGGCCATCCGCTTCGTCTCCGCAAGCTGCAACGCGGCGTCGTTCGCTGCATTGGCCAATGTCTCCTTTCAGGGCCCTAGGGTTTAGGTAGGGTTTGGGGTTTAGGGTTTAGGGTTTAGGGTTTCGGGTTTAAGGGTTTGGGGCTTAGGCGAAGGGGTTTAGGGGCTTTCAGGGCTTTAGGTTTTGGCTTAAGGGTGTTGGGTGCAGACAGGTTTTAAGCGTTAAGGCATCGGGGTAAGGGTTGGGGTTAAGGGCTTGGGACAGGGCAAAGGTTGAAGGGCTTAGACTCTTTAAGCCCGTAGACAAATAAAAAACACAATATCCTGCAGTAACCTAGGTGACGATTTCAACAGTCCCCAGTATCATGTAGAATTAGGGCTCTACACTAAAGAACGAGGGAAATTGCAAACTTATCCCAAATCGATACCTAGTAACAGACATAACCAACATGCAAGAGAGTTCCTGAGGAATGTTCAGTGGTTTTGTCCGGGGTCTAGGACTAACTGGCGGGGAAAGAGGCTTCATAGCTCTAATGACTGGGGGCTCAAACTCTGGTAAGGTTCGAGGGTTTAGGGTCTCTTCTCGCAAGCAGCTGTCAACCCCCGCTGTACACTGTACATGAATCTGGGAGCTGCGGAAGAGGACACAGCATTCATGGGTTTGGGGCTTGCATGGGTTTGTGGCTTGAAGTTATGTAGGGTGGGCCTTGAGGAAGATGGCTGTCACGATCCTCGTCACGGCAAAGACCACGATCCTTGTGACCGAAGCCCCATGGTAACTTTTCTTGTTTGGGTTTAAGGTTTAGGGGTTAGGATTTAGGGTCCATGGTAGGGTTTAGGGTTGAGGGTTTTAGGTTAGAGGGTTTCTAGGGCTCAGGGACAGTGAAGTATTGTGATCTTGTCCCAGGACATGCTTTTTGCCGATGAGGGAGGACGCTGTTCCCTGGAACGTGCCCGTCAATCATTCACGTTGGACTTTCATATGTATGGAAAACTTGAGAAAAACACATGCCCACGCAAGATACCATAAAATCACCGTGAACCTGAACTCACTTGGAGGTTTGGGTACTCAGAAGTAGGGTTAGAAGTCGGGTAAATAAGGTTAGAACGACACTTACCCCACCTATAACCCTACTTATAAGAAAACATGAACCTCGAAGGAATCCCCAACCCCAAGCCCTAGAAGACCTCCAGCGCAAGCAGAAACCCCCAACCGGGAATGTGAAGTTCAGCGTGCGCTGGGTACTGCGCCATTGAGAGCGCAAACGTAATTCGGCGGGCCCCACATGCTGCAAACCCCACTGGCAAGAGCACCTCCAAAAGCCCTGCAAACACCACATAGCCTTAACATGCCTGCGCACGAAACGCGAAACCTTAAACTGCAGGCCACGGGACGTGATATAGCATAAGAACGGAATGGCATACCAGTGGCTAACGTTGTCGACTACAGGTCGGACTCTGACAATCCATCCACCGGAGAAGGTCAATTCGAAGACGGTGTACCTGATAGATACCCCAAAAGTGTCAGCAAAATGCAATGAAGCCAAAAAGACATATACAGAATTCACTCTCTCTCTCCATGTGTATATACACATATATATATACATGTATAAGTAAATGTCTGTATATATACATGTCTGCACAAACATCTGTACATATTTACTGATATATACATATATACATATGCACGCGTATGTGTATATAACTATATGTATGCATGTGTACAAACATATATATATATATATATACCTACACCGTATGCATGTATGCATGTATGTATGTAGGTAGGTATGTGATTAGGTAAGTATGTATGAGCATGTGTAGATCTAAACCTATGTGTATGCATTCGTACATGTATATGTGTGCAGAGGCACAGCTGCACAGGTGAGAAGACGTACACATGTACAGGTCCTTGCCCGCGCAGCGAAGGGGCGGCTTGTTTGGGCTGCGTAGGAGTCATGAGATTCTTGGCGATGCTAGCCGCTATCATTCACGAAATGGTAGGCAATACTTAGCACTTGGCATCAACTACGCAGAAGGACAAGCACACGCAAAGCAGCAGGTCGTGTCACCTTTTTCTGGCGCAGGTGCCAATATTGACGTGGCATTCCTTCTGGCAATGTGTTGGTGTGTTGCTTTGCTCTGCGGTGTTTTAGCATCTTCCGGAGGGCTCTTTTTTGAAACGCATGACACCACAACAGATGTTGCACTCACCAGGGGAACCTGTCCAATCCAGCTTTGAGGGACGCTGGACTCAAGTCAACATCAAGGCTTCTGAGTCTTTTCTTAGGGGGCTTTTCCGTTAGCATCTTCCGGAGGGCTCTTTTTTGAAGCGCATGACACCACAACAGATGTTGCACTCACCAGGCGAAGTCTGAAGTCTGTCCAATCCAGCTTTGAGGGAGGCCAGACTCAAATCAACATCAAGGCTTCTGAGTCTTTTCTTGGGGGACTTGGGGGGCTTTTCTAGGGCCTGGGATCCACAGAAAACAGCGTTCATTTGCACCCAATATACGAAAGAAATGAACGCCAGCCCGTTTCCGCAAAACCTGTGTTCGCCACCCGGAAATCGACCGGGTTTGCTGCGTTTCGTGGCGGAGCCTCCGGGGGCCCTGTATACCCTTCAGGTTGTAAGCTTCGCTTAGGTAAGATACTCCGCTAGCTCCTCAGATACTACCGTGATAACTGTTTTTCGTAGATGGTGAACAAGGGGGTCGTACATGATTACAGAGGGACGGTAGCCGGTAAACACTGGAGTCGATATGACATTACGACTTAACCCAAAGAAAATAGTGTCGATAGCTGTCGGGGGGAACTGTGACCTGGGCTCAGGGCTCAGGCCATTTATGTTGCAGGGTTGGTAGCAGTTGGCTTAGTGATTCTTGGTTTCATTCCGTTGCCTGTGCCGCCCTCAGAAGTAGTGGTCGGCGGGTTGCTGGTCTCTTGGACGCTTGCAGGGTTGAGAAACGACTTTGTCAGTTTGATTGAGTTGGGTATGGGCTTCTCGTCACAAGTACCTGATCAGGACCTAACTTCATGTCGAGAGAGCAGCCTTGGATTTCAGACTTTCGCCCTGATCTCTACATGTTAATCCGAGACACAGGGCGCGGCCGAAACTGCCGTACAGGACGCTTATCCCCCTTCGAGTCTCCAGATCTTGCCGCTCGTCCAAGATGTACTCCTTTCGTGTGTATAGTGTTTAGGCGATAACCTCCTGATCCCGTGCTCGCTGGTGTTCTCAACTAGCAATTACTGTACAACAAGAATACACAAGCACAAGTACCACGGCCACTGCTACTACCACTGTTACCACAGCTGCTTCTTCCTCCTCCTCCTCCTTCTCATAATAATGAGAATGTTCATAATAATAATAATAACATTAAGAATGCAAAAAATAGAAATAGTAAAATCCACTAAAAAGCGTCACTACTACTACTTCTACTGCTCCGTCGTGTACTACTACTACTACTACTACTACTACTACTACTACTACTACTACTACTACTACTACTACTACTACTACTACTACTACTACTACTACTACTACTACTACTACTACTACTACTACTACTACTACTACTACTACTACTACTACTACTACTACTACTACTACTACTACTACTACTACTACTACTACTACTACTACTACTACTACTACTACTACTACTACTACTACTACTACTACTACTACTACTACTACTACTACTACTACTACTACTACTACTACTACTACTACTACTACTACTACTACTACTACTACCACTACTACTACCGACGACTACAGAACTGCCTTCAGGATGCTTTTGCTTTTGCTGCTGCTGCTGCTGCACATGAATGGAACAGCCTGCCAGCAGCTATAAGATCGATTTGTTTTGACTGCAATAAGAATACTTTGCAAGGCCTAAGGCAATCGAATGTCCAGGGCTCTGTGCTCTTCCAAACCAAATCACACTCTCCTCCGACTCCCGCCCCCGAAACCCAAACCGCTAAACCCTGAACTTTCCTAGGGTTTAGGGTTTAGGGTTTAGGGTTTAGGGTTTAGGGTTTAGGGTTTAGGGTACACCATAAAGGGGACCTTCCCTGAACCAGGGAACGGGAGGTCTTGACGGCCTGCAGCGACTGGCAAATAATGATCGTGAAGCCCAGCTCCAGCAGCACCATCAAGACCAGGGACCAGAATCTCGGGTGGGTGTGGTGGGTTTAAGGTTCAGGGTTTAGGGTTTAGAGTTAGGGTTTAGGGTTGAGGGTTGAGGGTTGGTTTAGGGTTTAGGGTTTAGGGCTTAGGGTTTAGGCTTTAGGGTTTAGGGTTTAGGGCTTAGGGTTTAGGGTTTAGGGCTTAGGGCCGTTGAGGGTTTAGGGTGGTGGTTCAAACCGCAAGTATCAATCACTCATCGACTCAAAACACTTAAAATTCTTCCTACATATTTCTAAAGATAGATGGAACACTAGAACGATAATGATAGTGACATAGATGGTTGTTAGATAGATGGATAGATATGTGGATAGGTAGACCATAGAACAGAATAGAGCAGAATAGAGCATAATGGAAAAGAAAGAACAGACTAGAATGACGGATAGATAGATTCAGATAGATCGATCGACAGATCTGTCTATCTATCTATCCATCTACCTACCTACCTATCTTTATAGAAGATTGATATACAGACAAACAGACGGATATACGACTGCAGAGCCCCAACGATTCTAACTCTCTCTCTCTCTCTCTCCGGAAGCGATCGGGAAAACAATCCTGATGGTACAGCTACATCGGGTAAGGGTGATCAGTATCCTATGCCAAAAAACACTCTAAACGCACCAACTGCATGCTGATGACGTGAACCGCAACTGCTGACGTAATTCCACCCGAGGTGCAAAGCACTCAGGGACGAGATGCACGCGCTGATTAGCACGCGTAGCTGCCGAAACAAGTTCACCTCGGCAGCCAGGTGATGATTCGTGACTAGTCTTGGCCTTCCAGAGACTTGGGCCATTGGGAAGTTCAGACTTCCGACATGTCATCTGTTTTGACACTTTCATCACATTCGAAGCGACTCGAAAGCCATCGGGACTTGGTAAGGGTTATTAACCCATACACACACCGGACAATGCTTATCATGCGATGCAAATCCGTACATCCAAACAACAGGGAAGCCGTTTCAAGAGGCGCTCAGAACTGGAATGACGATGACCACGATTCAGGCCGGCGTTCAACTTACACTCTGCTCCAGGACGGGCTGCACATGACGCCACTCTAACTAGGCAGGCTCTTTGAGTCTGTGCAGCTCAACCCTACGACGTATGGGAGAGGAGGTGGGTCGGTTCATGAACCTGAGGTACCTGAACCTGAGGTACCATGATCAACGTTAATGACATTTCCAATCTACAAAGATGCTGGAGTCTTCATCAGTTTGCTCTTACCGGGCTACGCGGCTCGGCTTTAATGCGGATATTTCGTAGCGAAATGGAGACATCGAGGAATGTCGAGAACTGCCGCTCTCTGGGTCCGACAGTGCCGCTCTAAAGGAACTACATTCGAGAGTCTAGGTGCTTGCTTCAGATTTTCAACCAAGCAGCAGTCTTCATGATTCGAACAGTGAGCACCAGCCGCAACAGTTTCCAAATGCGAAGAGCACTAACCTGCTGCGATTCATGGAAAACCAACAGGGTGGGACAGGCTGTGAGGCGAGTGTATGCAACTAGGAAATTCAGGGGCTTCAATAACTGGAATAGGACTTTGTGACACATTACGGCATAACTCGGTATAACGACATGGAACTTCAAGTAGGGTAAAGGGCGTTGAGAGGGAGTGTGTTCAGGGCGGTGTGGGTAGTCGAGGGGCCTTAATACTCAGAATAGGGTCTTAGGGGAATTCTCCTCACATTTATTCGAGAGCATGATATTGGGGACTAAGGCTGAAGGAATATTACCAGCAATTCTTCCGACCCCTGCACCCTAAACCCTAAACGTTCTGGACAGACCAGACTTGAAAACTCCCAAGCGCTGATTGTTCGGGCCATTAAGGCCCGTTGTATACAAGCCTGAGTATAAAGTGTGTATGTGTGTATATATGTGTATATTTATACATGTATACAAACACACGCCAATCAAGCTATCAATCAATGTGTATGTGTATATATGTATAAATAATGAATGTATGTATGTATTTCTGTATGTATGTATGTATGTACGTATGTATGCATGTATGTATGTATGTACGTATGTATATACATACATATGTGTATACACATGTGTATAATGTATGTATGTTAACGTAAGATATAAATACAAGTGTGTGTGTGTGTGTGTGTGTTTCTATAAATATGTGTGTGTGCATGTAAGGATATAGATATAGATATCGATATCGATAAAGATATAGACATACGTATAGATATAAGTATATACGTTGCATATATACACATACATGTATATTTGTGGAAACATATACACACATATAAGTTAAAGGAGCCTGAAAAGTTGTGTGGAAATGCAGTTCAGATTTGGAGTATGAACCCGCAAACAAACGCGGGAGATAGGTGGGCATCCACAGAAGGCACCGAATCTACTTGACACTACACTTCCGGCCAATATCACGACTTGAACAGGCAGCCCTTTCGGAGTTTGAGCAAGCGCCTGTTGATATGCGCTGCCACTGCTTGCCAACCTTGGCGCCCAGCAATTCAGCATTCAGTCGCCTGGGATCTTCACGGTTCAGCACTTTCGTGTTGACGAAGCCCAAGGCACCCATGACAATGATGCTTGCTTGCCCTTTGTTTTGAGTTTCTGTGCATGTTTACATGCTTCATGGCCGCACGAGCAACCCCTCTTCATCCCAACGTCGAATCTGTCGGGAAGCCAGCTGCCAATCTGTACCCCTGAATTTCTGCATACACTGCAAGGCCTTAGCCTCGAAATCTGCAAAACCCCCTCTGGCCGACAACCTTATGGGTAAAGCCCTGGCGCACTCGGTCTCATCATTGGATTACCCCTGAAGATTGCGCGTGTGTGTTCAGTGCCTGCTGGCGACAGGGGCAAAGACTGAACCTTCGGAACAAAGGCCTACACCCTGTCCACCGACGTTCCCAGCATGTGACAGAAAGTCCAAAAGGGATCCCGAAAGGGATCCCGAAAGGGCTGATACCAATATAGTATTCATGGCCACAGGTATACATTCTCTCGGCATCCTGTGACCCTTCAACTAAGGCCTTAAGCCCTGAATCCGTAACCTCCCCAGCCTTGAAATTCCACAGCTTCAGCGTTGAAAGACTTTTTTGGGCTTTAGGGTCTCTTTTAAAACCCCAAGGCAGAAACCCTAAGACTGTTCAACCCTGAAAACCCGAGAAACTTTCGACCCCACGCTGAGCAAACTGAGAGCCCCACACGATCTCGAGCACGTGAATCAGCACAAGGATGAGATCGAAAACATTCGTAAACCTTCAGATGGCAGCTGTACTTGTAGCCTAGATATAAGAAGGTCCCCATAAACATGGATGTCTAGGGTTAAGATGGGCTATACTTGGAATTACAACTGCCCGACATTTTACCCTGAGGCTTCAACAGCCATCTGACCATAGACTCCACCACACCCCCTAAATGCTAACCCACGAACCCTAAACGCAAGTACCAAACTACTGGGTACTTGAACCTGCTGGCCTGATCGGAGTCCCCTTAACGCAACCGAAGATCACGCTAAGTCCCGACTAGGGGCCATATAACTGCCCTTAGTAATGGCACAGGGAGGGTCCCCAAACCCTAAACCCTAAACCCTAAACCCCAAACCCTGGTAAGGCAGCAAAACGATGCTGATCAAGGAGGCCGGCATGAATCCGTCCACCTCATCGTAGAGCCACTCCCTCCGCAGCACCAACATGCGCACGAGGACGTCCAGGACGTAGATGGAGCCTTGGCACTGTAGTCCGAATCCTTTTGGTCCCAGATCTTCCAAAGCCCCTTAGTTAAGGACTATACCGGAACTTGTACTAAGCATCCTTATAATGAGTTAGGGTATATGCCTTAATTAAGGGGTTTTGGAAGGTCTGGGGTGTTGGTGGTGTGGTGGAGTGGGGGGTACCGGCTCGTGTGCTTCTACTTGTTGGAAGAAATACATAACCTGAAGTAGGCAACATTGTTGCAAATCCTGCACACTTGCGGAACACCACCATGCCAAGCAGGCTTAGTTTAGGAGCACACACACATACACACATATACACATATACACATATACACATATACATACATACATACATACATACATACATACATACATACATACATACATACATACATACATACATACATACATACATACATACATACATACGCGTAGTATATGCGTACAAATACACAAACATAAGTATGAATATATGCTACCCCATAGCCGGGAGAGGGGAATCCACATACATATCTATATATATATATATATATATACATATATATATATATATATATATATATATATATATATATATATCCACACATGATGGGCATATATATATATATGCATACACCTATCTGTACATGTATATGTATGCCTGCATCCTTTAAGCCCTTTTGGGCTGCAAGTTTAGACTAAGCGGGGGCCCTTGGGTGCCTTGGACGTGACGATGCAGCCTGACAGAGCTTAGGGTTTGGGGGTTCGGGGGTTTGGGGGTTTCTGGCTGAGCATGGAATCGCGTCAAAGGTACTTGGATGTACTTGGGTTCTACCCCCAAACGCCTCACTGGGAAGCTGAAGACAAAGAGTCGGCTGCCCAGACAACTGACAAGACACCTTCTACCGCATCCAAGCAACAAAAAACCACGTCCAGGGCCAGGAAGAGCTCCGCCGTCAGGAAGGAGTTCGGCGCCCGCTCCGAGAGTCCAAGGCGTACGTCGGCTTCATTGCCGACCTCGGGGGCTTCTAGTTTAGAGTCTCTAGGGCCTAGGATTTAGGGTTTAGGGTTTAGGGTTTAGGGTTTTTAGGGTTTAGGGTTGAGGGTTTAGGGTTTAGGATTGAGGGTTCTAGGTACAGAACCACCTGAGAAGGAATGAAGATGGCCCTTCATAAGCAGCAGTATGCCTTTCTTGCCATTTTTTTGTCAGGCCCTAGCACTGACAAGGCTGCTATACAAAATGACGGCACGGCGAAAGACAATGGCCTAAGAACGGCTATCCTCAGCCTGGTTGCGCCAAGGGTCTCCCATACCAAGAAGACTATGCAATTTTAGGGACAAAACCCTAAACCCTAAACCCGAAACCCTAAACCTAAAGGGAGATCGGAACATCTGGACAAGCCAGAGCTGGCGCCTGGATTTGTACTTAAACTTGTCAGCAGAAGGGTACTGGGTTTAGGGTCAGCAGAAGGGTACTGGGTTCAGGGTCAGCAGAAGGGTACTGGGTTTAGGGTTTAAGTTTAATGTCGGGACCTTGGTAATTTCAATAGAGTTTCGGGCTTTTTTTATTGGTAGTATTGATAGTAACTTTGATAACTGTTCCGACCTCTATAGTAGGCTTTGAGGGCTAAGGCACCAGACCTTGACTTTGTACAGTGGCTGAACTTCTCTCAAAATCCTACAAAGCCTCCCACAAGCATCCCTTCGTCTCGAAAACGGCCAGTTGCAAGCAAATTCAAATCAAGAAATAGCCGAACGAACACCTTAGCCCCTTAACCCGAAAAGTCGGAAGCCTGAACACCCCCAAAACCGCGAAAATCTACAGGACCCTCAACCCTAAGTTTTGCCGAGTAGCTTCTTGAGTCCTTGCCGCCATGCAGACGAAGTTCAGGATGACTACGACGGCGACGCAAACATCCAGCGGACCCTTTTGAGGGCTTCAAGTCGTTTCACATATTAGCTTAGCAAAAAAAAAAAAGGTTGTTTAAGGTGTTTTCAGGTTTTGGGGCAGAGGGTTGCTTTTTGGGTTTTGACGGGATTAGGGCTTAGAGTTTAGAGGTTTCATATGAATTCTTAAGGTTCAGGTTTTGGCATTTTCGGGCTGTTTGGGGCTTTGTTTTGGGGTTTCGGGTTCTGCAGTGCTTCGAGCAAGTTCTGCTGATTGTTGAGGTAAAAGGCTGCGTGGTTCGATGGTGGGCACCGAAGCACGTGGAAGTGCGCGAGGAGCTTTCCTGTGTGTGTGGGCGCGTGCGCGCGCGCGAGTGGGCGGGTTCATTTGTGCGTGCATGGGGATACCCACATATGCATATATGGAGAATCGAGATGTACATATATATATATATATATATATATAAATAAAAGCGAGAGAGCTGTTCCGTATGCACACAGACAGAGAGCGCGTGAATTTCTAGGAATGGTATTTCATATTTGTTAAGCCTCTTGGGTCAAGACATGAGCCAGGGCCTACTTGGGGTTGATGCTTTCGCTTGGTTGTATGTGGCCCTTGCTAGTAAGGTTAGGCTACAAGGCAGATGGCGAGTGCTTGAGATTCAGGAGATTCGATTCGAAGTGGCCCGTTTGTTACCTTTCAAACATCTGTGGAATATAAGGGGATGCTCTGACTAATAGTTTAGACGTCCATGTTAAGTACTTCGGACTTGCACCTTCACCCACTCTCGGTATCGCGAGGCATCCTCCATATCCTCCGACATGTCTGTCAGGACATGCTTCCTCGGCTTGTGAGGGTCGCCGATGTCGGGTAGCCATATGTCACACAACGAAGCTCGCATGGCTTCATGCTGATGGCAAGGCCTTAATCTGGAACCGTACTACGTAAGAAATACCTTACAAGCTTCAACCCCAAGTGTGTGCCCACATGTCATGGTGAGGACTGCGGCTTACGCTTAGGGCAATCGCATCCGTACCCACTGACTGCTTAATGAACAAGCCCGGAAACGCACTCACAACAACAAGTAAGCATAGTAAGCAAGTCTGCACCGCGGAAAGGAGTGAAGAGGGCAAACTGATCTCCAAGCAAACCAAACTTCCAAAGCTGGTGCCCTTCTAGGTCGAAGGGTTTAGGGTTTAGGGTTTAGGGCTTAGGGTTTAGGGTTTAGGGTTTAGGGTTTAGGGTTTAGGGTTTAGGGTTTAGGGTTTAGGGTTTAGGGTTTAGGGTTTAGGGTTTAGGGTTTAGGGTTTAGGGTTTAGGGTTTAGGGTTTAGGGTTTAGGAAATCTTCTAATTAAATCCAAAGTACCAGAAGGGCTGAGGGGATCCTCAAAAACAAAAAACAAGATCGTCTCCTGCTAAGCTGCTCAAGCTTTGTCGCACGGTGGCTGCTAGTACTTCTCTGGCCATGAAGACCTGTCCCAGTGTTTTTGCCACCGTCTTCCACCTCCGGGATTCAGGGGTTAGTGACTGTGTCCTACGGTCGCAGTATGGCATACCGCCTTCATGCTAAGCAGTAACCCTTGCATGCTGTTGTTGATGCCCCGAACCTCGACAATCAGTCCCTTAAAGTTGTTGCTGCTGCCTGGTCCCTGGACCCTAGCCGCTGCCCGGGAGCTCAAACCCGAACCCACCAAACCACGGGATCCTGACCCTTATCATCATTTTACCGATAGAAAAGCGTGGTTGAGACACCCCCACCCCCACCCCCACCCCCCCCCCAACCAACAAAAGGCTGACTCACCCTTCTGGGCCATGGGAAGATCAACCAACAAACATCTGATATCGTAAATGTTGCAAAAGGTCGTGCGTGACTGCTACGGTTGGTGACCTTATTGTTGGTGGCTCTCTTTGGATATTTGCCATAATCATAATGGTTAGTTACATCATGAGTCATAACCATCGTCGTCAAGATCATCGGACACGCCACGCGCAAGCTGCACGTGTGCAAACTGAGACAGGATTGATGTATGATACATTTGTGCAGCAATTGTTGGCTTTCAGTCTCTTTTGAAAACGACCCCCCCCGCCCCACTCTTCCCCCCCGTTGGGGAAATCGACATTCCGCAAAATCCATGCTTGCTTTCGAGAGATTCCGCCCCTGTTCCGTGTTGCCCAAAGCATCGATTTCAGTACATTTCACCTTCCCCGCTCCAAGTTGCATGGTCACAGACTTCAAACGCATCGCCCATTGACTTCTTTTCTTGCGGGGTGGGGCTTCGGATGCTGCCTATAGACAGGACCAAAAAACTGGGAACAATCACAGCTGACGGCTTCGGCTCCGATCGAAGATCCCGATGAAGATCCGAATAAAACACACACGGAGAGAGGGAGGTCAGCCAGAGATTGTTGTACAATGGTACACTGACTGGAGATGACTGGAGAGACCTCAGTACAGGAGAGACCTCAGTATAGGGGAATCCCATCGGGACTCCTGGAAAACATTGCAGGTACATGGAGCTGGCCAAACTCCACATCCCCTGATGCTTCATAGCTTCGTTGGATTGGGTAGAAGCATCAGGCCCAATCCCCCTGCGGGAAAATTCGACTCATGCATAAGCTCTCAGCTCCAAAGCCCCTTAGCTTAGAATCAGGGTTTACACACACACACACCCCTCCTACGAGGGGAGACACAGTGCATTCCAAGGCCACAAGAGATATGCTGCACGCACACCCTCCGAAGAGGGAAAGTCCTGGTCTTGTACCTTTGTCACCGGTGAGTCCTCCGCCATAGGCCCGTCACCACCATAGGCCCTCCTCCTCCAGCACCGACCTTAGAAATCCTTAGTGTCGTCATCATCATCGTCGTCAGAGACCTCCAGCTGCCATGACAGGCCCAGGAGCGTCCGGGAGATCCCAGCTGCCACCGCCTTGACCCAAGGCACCTCCCATCATCGTCGTCGTCGTGGAGGACCCCCAGCTGCCACAAAGGACCCAGGAGCGTCCAGGAGGCCCCCGCTGTCCACAGCGACCCAGAGCACCTCTACTTTTAAAGAAAGAAAACGGTCTATTTGCAACTGAGGGGCAACCACCGGAAATTCGACTCGGGTCGAGACCCACGAATAGAGAGTTAGACCACCTCGTCTATGTCTCACGACTGGGCATACGACGCCCTTCAACAATTTCCGGTTCCGCCCTTATTGGCGACTTTGAGCTTCAGCCGTGGCTGGTACCTCGAGAGAGAGAGAGAATCCGCTCATAGCACTGGGTGCCTACCAAGGCTCATCTGGCACTGAAGCCTCTCTGTTTACTTGGGTGATCCCCATCCAGGAATCAGGCAATGCCCAAACGGGTAAATTGCCCTTGGGCGACGAAGCCCACACACGGAGAGAGGGAGGTCAGCCAGAGATTGTTGTACAATGGTACACTGACTGGAGATGACTGGAGAGACCTCAGTACAGGAGAGACCTCAGTATAGGGGAATCCCATCGGGACTCCTGGAAAACATTGCAGGTACATGGAGCTGGCCAAACTCCACATCCCCTGATGCTTCATAGCTTCGTTGGATTGGGTAGAAGCATCAGGCCCAATCCCCCTGCGGGAAAATTCGACTCATGCATAAGCTCTCAGCTCCAAAGCCCCTTAGCTTAGAATCAGGGTTTACACACACACACACACACACACGTTGCTTTTGCTTGGTAAGCTTCTTTCTCTGAAGAAGCACGTGCAACCACAGAACTGACTAGCCATGAACGGATGCGCCAACAAAAAACCTGATTCATGTCTGACATGTACGAAGTGCAGGCAGCTCCTTGATGGTCGTCTCCAGTGGCGCTTCCGCGGCGACGTCCTGCTTCGGCACCTCTTCTCCAGGAGCAGCGTCCATCGCAACCGTTTCTTCGAGCCTCTGCTGAATCAAACCACAGTCGGTTCAAGCATGTTTAAGTTTAAAACCCCAAATTCTAAGCACAAAGTCTCACAACACGCCAAATAAAGGGCTCAACCGAATGAAGAGGTGTGAATAATGAGAACAGGACTTGCGGGTATACACCCTAAACCCTAAACCCTGAACCCTGAACCCAAAACCCAAAACCCTAAACCCTAAACCCTAAACCCTAAACCCTAAACCCTAATCGGGCCAGGAGCTCCGGTTCGACCTCCCCTGCACCTGAGGGCTCACACCGAAGCAGCTGGAGGTGGTCGTCCAGCAGTCTTCGGATCACGGCCTCTTCGGCTGCTCTCGACTTACTCCTCTTGCTCGCGATCTCATGCCCCGTGTCTTGGAGAACCCTGCAGAAAGCAACCAAACTTGTTGAGACAGCATGTTGCTCTCTCTCTTCACCACCATTCAACCACCGTCCCCAACCGCTCAACCCTGTTCCCGACCAACTGTGGCCTCCTGCTCCACAAACCTCTGGTCCAATGCGGAGATGAACCACTCCCTTAGCGACGACATGGCCGGCAAGACTGTGGGTTTCTTTTGCGGCCAATATAGTCTCATCATAGGTTTTAGGTATCAGGGTCTTCTGCTGCCATCCATTGAATGGCTCTGCAACTATGGAAGCCGCTGATGGCAACCACGGCGAAGCTGCTGAAGCTACCGCCTAATGTATCCTTAAGCCTAGAGTTAAACATGGGGCGACTGGCCGTAGCTTCGGTCCGCACTGATCGTGACCATAAAGGATAGGCATAAACCTTGAAAGACCTTTCAGAGTGCCAGGGCTTCCTTCCATATAGAAGCTAATATGCCTGAAATCGGATTTGTTATTGTCTGGGGCTCCTTTTACTGCTACCTCGACTAAACCTTTGCACAAATCTCCGACCACGCCCTTCCCCCGCGACCGATAACGCTGCCTTAAAGCCAAAACCCTCAATCTAAATTCTAAACCACAAAGCCGCAGACGCCCCACTCCGCAGATGAAGATGGAGGACTTGAATACTCGATAAGGGCTAAGGGCTTCATGGCCGCAGCGCGCCCTTTGATTAACATTAGCATTGCAGCATCACCTTCTTCAAAGTAAGGTTTACGTTTTGTTGGTTTAGGGGCCATTCACTACGTCACTACGTCTTCTACCTCGAACCCGGAACGGTAGGATCTGAGTGCCAAAGCCTGGAGCCCAACCCCAGACCTTTGACGCGAAAGCTCGACACTACAATCCCAACAAACTTGAGCCCGCACGAACATAACCTAAAAAAACCCAACTCAAACCCTTTCAAGGTCATAGGCGCCGTGGATCAGCCAAGGCATTTTCTGCACAGTCTGTCGGCATGGTGTGAGCAGCCGGGATGGGTTTCAACACCCAAGACCCTAAACCCTAAACCCTAAACCCTAAACCCTAAACCCCAAACCCTAAACCCTAAACCCTAAACCTGAACCCTAAACCCTAAACCCTAACCCCTAAACCCTAATCCCAAAACCCTAAAGGATGGAGCAGCTGCCTTCCGATTTGCTCTAAAGGGCTTTGATGCTTCAAGGGCTTGGCAGTAGAGTCTGCGTTCAAGGCCTGTAGCGCCCGACACGTTTCTGAACCCTCAAGCTTCTACCTATAAACCTTGAACCCACAACCAAAAGCCTCAAACCCTGAACTCTAAGTCTCTCAAATCACCGGTCAGTTTTCGACGATTCTGCGCTTGAGCCAGAAGATCGATCATTTGAGGCTGGAGCTTAGGATGCTTGGGGTGTGAAATGGGAGACTGTTCTGCTTGAGCCTGGCTAGTGTACTTGTGCTGTCCGTTGTAGTCTACTTTTCTTGATGTGTTGATTGCTTCAGAATCCTGACTACGAGATGGATCGCCAGGACAAGGACGCACATTATAGGGGCTTAGGTGTCGTATGACGGAAGGAAGTTCCCGATGGCTCATGCAGGTAATGTCGAAGCCTGAATAAGCAACGAAGCTGTTCCGTAAGGCCCTTTACTATGTTTACACTGTACTCCAAAACCCTGTTCTAGTCTAAAGAGAGTGCCCTGCCATGAACCCCTGAGATTCAGGCCCTTCGGGAGCAGTGGTTTGTTGGACTGGTGTAAGGGTTCATGTCAAGGCTTACAATTTACAGGGTTCAGAGTATAGGGTTTAAAGGGTTAAAGTCCTCGAAGTGCGCAATAAGCATAACGAATTCATAAGTGTTTCACACTGTACTTCAGAAGCTCGTTCCTACTCACAGTAGTCTCAGCGAACTTCACTGAGATGTAGACATGTAGCGGACTGGGCAAAAACATCACAACATGAATTCCACCCGGTTGCAAACTGAAAGCTTGGGATCAAACATGACTCCCGAAGCAAAACCTATACAAAACATGATGGAATCAGCTACGATCTTCCACCCCCCCGCATTTTGCTGAGGGCTTCTTCAGACAAAGATCTTTCACAAACATTGTTGGCACTTCAACACTAAGGGGATGCCCTGGCCACATTTGTTTTGGTGCGTACCCGCCACCGAAAGACGACAAACACGAAACCGCACATCCAAAGTCATTGACGGAACAGCCACGCCATCTACAGATGGCATGTTCTAGGCCGTTGGGTCGAACAAGTGACAAACTCGTGACACACGAATTAGTGCATCCTGCCATGTATGGTACGTGACCCTGCATGTGGTGCTGAAGCTCTGCATGCCTATTGCGCACAGTGTCTCCCACTACATCCTCCTCTAACATGATGTGGTAACGATTGGGCTCTTCTTTTTCACTCTCAAGCAAAGCATTGACGAAAGGATCTTTCCCCCTTAGGGGGTTGGCGATCGACCCTCTTGCTCGCGACTGTACTCGCGGCGGCGTCGAGCCATCTCGACAAAAGCGGATGATGCTGCCTTGGCTGGCACTGTGGCCGTTGTTGCCTTGGCCGGTGAACTCGCCATTGATGGTGCCGTTGTTGTTGGTGGCGCCATAGGTGCTGCCATGGTCACATCTCCTGGAGCTGGGGTAATGGGTGTCTCCTCCTCCATTGGCAATCTCGGCACAGGCGGTGGCGGTGGGAGAATCAGACGGGCTTTGGCTGTCGCCCGTTCGCGTTCGGCTTGGGCGTTGTGGATGTCGCGGCTCCGCGCGCGGCGGCGTTCCTCGAACGCTGCTCCCGTCACCAACCCATGTTCCAATTCCATCCTGAGGCTTAGCGGATGGTGGTCCTTTGCGGTTGTCGCTGCCGAGGCGCCCGGAGGCGGCCCCAGTGCGGCGACACGTCGCACTGTGGAACGTAGGTTCGCAACTGACTCTTCCAGAGACAGCGGAAGCTGTGCTGACTCTTTCGCCCTCATACGGAGGTAGGAGTCTCGGAGAGGGCCCAAAGCCGTGAGGTTCTCCTCCGTCAACCCCTGTGCTTCCAGATGGACCTGCAAATAAGGTCCTCGGAATTCTTGGAGGCAAGGCTCTCTCTCCACGGGGCAGCAGAGTCCCACCTGATGTCGGAGCCTCATGCCGAGAACATGAGGAACTTCATGGCAATAGCGCAATCCGATCGGGTGCCAGTCCGGCAGGTCCGTGTCGACTGGAATACTTGGAAGCAGGCGGTGGACGAGCCCTTGGAGCTCGAGATTGGACCTCGCCAGGGGAGAGGGTTCGCGGTCCACGCCCTTGGACCGGACATCACCATGGAAGCCGAGACCGTACCGGGACCAGCGACCCCGGATGCTTCGTCCAACGACATGGAGATTGTGACCACGGAGGAGGCTGTGCCAGAACCCCCTGCAGCACCCAAGGCAGTGGGTACAACGACCTCGGTGTCGGATTCCGAGGAGGACAACTGGGGACAGTGGCGACCAGCAAAGGCTGGACCTGCGACACCGGATGCCGCCCACGTGGCGAGCATACCGGAACCTACAACCCCGCCAGCAACGTGGCAGCAACCTCCTATGGAACCGATTGCGGCCAACGCCACGATCACAGAAAACACAAGAGGCCCGACTCCACGACATGGACGCAGCGAGTTGACAGACCAGACAATAAGGGTCGTTGGTCTCGTTGTTCACGAGCGCCTGCCATGAGCCTTCGAAGCGGCGACATATCCAAGTCAGCCAGCCGGAACTTGCGAAGCGGCGCTTGCCTTTCCGGGTCGGTCCGGCAAGGTAGTCCGGAGGTGGCCCACTCGGTTCCCGAACGACGGGTCGCCCCCCCATAGGCGTCCGCTCCTTTGCAGGCTTCTCCTTCTTGGACTCCAGCTTCGGCACGGGGTACTCCTTCTTGGCCTTCAATGCAGCGTCCTTGGCTGCTCTCGCTTCCATGAAGCGTCGCCAGGCTTCTGGGTCGTTGCCCATTATCTCGTAACTGTCGGATTTTTCCTCCGAGGCTTTCTCCTCCCTTTCCTCCAGAAACTTTTCCCAGAGTGAGGTCTTCTTCTCTTCCTTCGAGGTCTCCTTTTCCTTCTCCGGGGCCTCTTTCTTCCTCAGCGTCTTGGGAGTTGGCCGCATCAGCGTGGGCTCTCTGGCTTTGTGGGAGGATGGCCGCTCCACCATCGTGGGCTCTCTGGCTCGATGGGATGATGGCTGCTCCATCATTGTCACATCTTCGGCTCCTTCCGCCGTCTCCTCTTCGGATGGCGGGGGTGATGGAACATAGATCGTGACCGGAGATGTTTCCTCGTCTCGTAGGGGACCGAGTCGCTCTTCTTCCTCGGTGATTCTGTTCACCTGGTGCTCGTCCACGAGTAGCATCCTGCGCGCTCGCGCTCCCTCTCGCATACCCTCCAGCTCGCTGATAGAGCGGACCATTGTCTCGCTCATGGCTGGCTCCACCTCCATTGGTTCCTCTTCCATGGTGCGCTAAGGCGTCTACCACAAAAGACGGTGGCTCCTGGTGCTTTGGGCATCCAAGGCTTTCGGGTTGATACTTGCGAGATTGCTCTTGCAGATCACGACCAAAACACGACAAGGGAATGTTTGCCGCTGTGGTGCTACTGTCACACGCATGCACAAGCCACTCGATTGTTGGTGTGGTGTTGCTTTGCTCCCCATGTGTGGTGATGTTGTGGTCTGCACAAGAAAACAAGCACGCACGACTGTCCAACTCATGCACAAGCCTCTCGACTGCTGGTGCGGTGTTGTTGTTTTGCTCCCCGTGTGAGATGATGTTGTTGTCTGCACAAGAAAACAAACATGTATGACTGTCAAGCTCATGGAAAACTGGCATGTCCGCATGACTGAAAGACTCAAAGGAACTAGGCGCGGCGCTCAAAAGCTCATCAACGGCCCTTAGTTTCTCCTTAGTCTCTCCTTGGTCCAGGTCAGCATGCTCATGACTCACATGTCCCTTGCAGTCACTCATCTCATCAAGACATGAAATGTCCAGCAATTCAGGGTTTTTGGGCTCAACACACACTCTCGCAGAATTTCGATAACCGCGATTTGAGGTCGAACGATGAAAATCACGATCAGCGGATGACTTTCGAGATCGATTTTGGCGATGTTGTTCCGTTTTGGCGATCAAATCCTGAGGCTTTAGAGCTAAAGGATGGTCACTCCGTACTGACGCAAGCCAACTTACTGAAGCAAACAAGGTGGGCTTCAAAGTTACGCCATGCTTGCGGACAGTGATTCCGCCTTGCTGTACGCACAGCGTCGGTTCCCAACCACCGTTCTGACAAAGCAAATTGATGTTCAGCAAATTGTGCTTGATCTGATCGGAAATGACGGCTTCAAACCTAGCTTTACACATGTACACAGCGTCACTCTCATGCTCAGAACTGCTCTTCGATGATGCTGGGGTGGTGGTTTCAAAGCAAACTTCCACCAAAACATGTGTTGATCCGCCAATCTCAACGGAATCTCCAGTCGCAGTCTCCGCATAGGACTTCGGGCGTTTTTCCAACCAACTCAGGATCTTCACGTGGTCGCTCTCAAGCGTCTCTCTCGTGATGATGTGGAACGAACTACCAGAGTCAATCAGCCAGTAAATGCGATCATCTGAAGGAAAACTAACCACCTGGTTCGTGAGCATCATACCAAAGTGATATCCTTCCAGAAACGTCTTGACTGATGACTGTGCTTTTCCATTACCCTTGGTTGTGGGCTGCGCTGCTGCTTTCGCCGATGTAGACGATGAAGACGAGGGTGCCTCCGGCTGCGTCGTAATGGCCTGGCTCGTCGCCGCTGCGGCTTTGTCCTTCGAAGGTGCCCAGCAGTCGCGTGCCCAGTGTCCAGTCTTCCCGCAGTTCCGGCAGACATCTGTCTTCTTCGCCTCTCTGCTCTTGCTCCGAGCTCTGTCTCCTTTTCCGCCTTGGTCACCTTTCCTGTCCTTTCCTTTCGCTTTGCCACCCTTCTGTCCCTTTTCTCCTTTCTCGC